ATATGACAATATATATAAATATATGAAAAATTGATGTGGGTACTTAAATGAAAGGTCTTGATGAGTATAACATCAGGATGAGCTTATTTCTTTAAAAATTTCAATAGTTCACAAGATATTTATTAGATTACACTGTACTTTCTTAAATATTGACGTTTTTAAAGATATAAGCTCATTCCGATGTTATACTTATCAAGAGCTTTCATTTAAGTACCCACATGCATTTTTGATATATTTTTTATATATACATATATATAATATATATAAAATATATAAATATATGAAAAATTGATGTGGGTACTCAAATGAAAGGTCTCTATATGAGTGTAACATCGGGATGAGCTTATATCTTTAAAAATGTCATGGTTGACAAGATACAAAGTTTTTATTTAACCCGACGTTTTTAAATCGCCGAAAATCGAGTTCAAAGATTTCGTAACATACATAGAATAGATACATAAGTACAAATGAAGCTATTAAAATTATGCTTTCTCCGTGTAATTGCAGTTACAATTATTACCTTGAGGTATATGCATAACAGCTACGGTAATTCCCGCGGCGATGTCACCCAGCATGTCATTTTTCCACTGGTAATTTGGTAACCAGTCGAGAATCGGAAGCGATTTCTTCAGACATGATGTTATTTTAAAGTTTTTGTACTTATTCTTCACCGAGCGTGATACTAAAAATAATTCAGATATTTAAAATAATAATAAATATTTTTTTTTACCTTATATGGTAAAAGCCCCAATAGATGATCATGTACCAATATATGATCATCTATGAGGGCTTTTACCTTATAAATTATTAAAAATTTTGTAAATTGTAATTGGCTTACTAGATTTATCTGGTTCGGCATAATCATAATAACGATCAATATCTTCCTGCTGGTAAACTGGCCGTCGGATTATAAGTTCGTTATTATTTGTCATCTCATAACTTTTATCTACAGTTTTAAAATGAAAAAAAACAAAAATTATATTTTTGAACACTAAATATTTTATAAAAAATAGAAACCTTGCAGTCACTATGTGACTGCCGTGACTTGTGAAATATGAATAAATAAAATTTGTCTTTATTAAATAATTAATTTTGTTAAATTGCACTGAAATTTCTTAAATATTGACATTTTTACAAATATAAGCAAGAGTACCCACTTGCATTTTTTATATATTTTACATATTTACATATATATATAATATATATTTTAAAGATATAAGCTCATCCTGATGTCACACTCATCAAGAGCTTTCATATGAGTACCCACATGCATTTTTGATATATTTTTCATATATACATATATATAATATATATAAATATATGAAAAATTGATGTGGGTATTCAAATGAAAGGTCTCGACGAGTGTAACATCGGGATAAGCTTATTTCTTTAAAAATGTCATTATTTCTCAAGATTCAAGGTCATTTCTTAATTATGTATCTAGAGATAGAGAATTTTCGAATGCAGCCTAAATACTTTTCATCATAAATTGACTATCGATGAGAATGATATGAAATCTTGAAAAGGCTCAAGTTTAAATTAAGACCTTTGCAATTACATTAAATTTCACTAAAAAATCCGATTTTATTACATGAAAATCCTAGACATAAAATTTTTCTTATTCTTTTAATAATATAAATAAAATTTTTTTATTGAAAAAATTATTACAAAAAAATTAAAATAAATTGCGATAAACCGGCAACTTGCTTCTCTAATTAAAAAATTTTATAATATATTTTTAATAAATAATAATAATTAACAAAAAATGCTTTTATAGTCTTACCGCAGTCATATTTATTATTTTTATTAGTAATTAACCGACTAGTCTCCATATTTAAATTGTTTAAAAAAAAAACTCAAACTAATGAAAAGTGAAAGTTAATTTTTTACAGCCAGTTAACGTTATTTCAATAAAATAAGCCACTGATATTGAAGAAAAACAAATCGACACGTCAATGATAAGAATTATTTAGATATAACTTCTGAAACTGGACACTAAACTAACAACTATCCACTACAACACTCTAATCATTAAATTTATAATCTAAAATATTTAATTACTCCTCTAGTATTTATTTTAACGAAATAAGTGAGCTCTCGAGATGATTACACAACATTATCAATGAGCCCAATAAATTACAGAGAGAGATGCGTTGATTTTTATTCATTTGTATGGTCACGCGGATATCTCAACTCTCAATACAACTTATATATATCTTTATTAATCTGAGTGGGATGGATGATTATTATATTAACGCTCGTTTTACGATATAATACACGTTTACTGTTCTACTTACATATTGTTTTTTAAACTTACAATACTTGTCACGTACAGTGCTTTTATTCGCTTTGAGAATTAAATCAAGTGTTAATGTAATATAAATACTATACACCGCATCTTATTATTCATTAGATACAATACGCTAATTTACTTTTTATTTTTTCTTATCGTATAATTACACCCGAAAAATAAATATTTTAAATAATAATTATGAAATTGTTGAAATTACTAAGATAAAAGTCGCTTTTAGTGATAAAAAATTAATTGCTTTGATATTTATTGTTTTGTTTTGTTTTGTTTAAAAATTGCATGATAAATAATTAATTAATTATTTTAATAGATACAATTTTTAAATATATTATGTAATATTAATTATATTTTACAAGCAGTAAGAAGAAATTTTTATATTCTACTTCGATATTTCAATATTTCTTCTTTATTAAAAAAATAAAAAAGTACTAGCAATCTTGCAGTCACTACGTGACTGCCGGCACTTGTGGTATATAAATGAATAAAATTTTGCTTTATTAAATAGTGAATTTTGTTAAATTGCACTGTACTTTTTTAACTATTGATGTTTTTAAAGATATAAGCTCATCCCGATGTTACATTCATCGAGAGCTTTCATTTGAGTACCCACTTGCATTTTTTATATA